AAGTGCAGCATGTCCACCCAAACTTTCTGCTCCTCTTCCTCTAGTATGCCACACCAGAGTTGATGGTATCCTTTGAGTGCTTAGCCAAAAACTTGGGGATTGGAGGGTTAACATCTATGGAGCTTATATTCTAATGGGGGGGAGAAACTAATGAGTAAATAAAAATATTACTTCATATGGTGATTATGCTATGAAAAGGAAGAGAGGAAATGGGGAGCAGGGTGTCTTTTTAGATATAAGATCTGAGACTTGAATAAGTATTAGCCTTTAAAGAGACTCCTTAGTCTTAGTTTCATTCTCCCCAAATCCACTGTCCACCTTGCTTTAAGAATATTCTTTGTAAAATGTCAATTTGGTCATATTACTCTTCTGCTTAACATCTTTTGATAGTTTCTTGCTGCTTATAAGAGGCAAACTTCTTGGTTCAACAAATGGCCTTTCCTGCTCTGGGACCCTGTTTTCCTCTCCAGGTTCATCTCAATCACTCAAAGATTTGAGTGCCTACTATGTGCCAGGTACTCTTCCAAGTGTGGAGGACTGATCAAGAACAGGGCAAACAAAAAAATCTCAATATTCATGGAATCTCTTAGTTCTATGAGAAAGATACAATAAATAAAAATGCAAATAAGTAAAGAATTTTAGATAATGACAAGTACAATGAAGAAAATAAAATGACAATGTGAGGCGTAAATAAAATGATCAGGGAAGGTCTCTTAGAAGAACTGACCTTTGAGGTACAGTCTGAATGATGAAAAAGAGATAAATCTCAGGTAAGAGAGCTCCAGAAAGAAGGAACAATAGGCTCAAAACTACTCCTTCCAAATGTGGGAACCAGTGGGGAGTGTTCAAGAAACAGAGAGCAAGACAGTGTGGCTGGAAAGCACAGTATAGGAGAGAGCTGGTCGAAAAGAAGGTCAGAGTAGAGGAGTCAAATACTTGGGAGTGGTGCTGTGCCTATTTCACCCCTTGATTTCCAAAGTACTTTTGATGCTTCAGACACACCATTCTCTTGTTCCTCCTGCCTTTGCCAGGGATTTACTCTTCCTACTTAGAAAACTCATATTCATCCCTCAAGACTTGGCTCAAGTGGCTATGTGAAACCTTCCCTAGCTCCTCTTCTCTGCTTTTCAGTCTCTCCCTTCAGGCTGCACCCTGACTATCCACATGCACACCTGTATCTACAACTGGACTGGGAGCCTCCTGAGAGAACTGTCTGTTCACTTTCAGATTCTCACCACCTAGTCCATATACCAAAGTGGTATATTTGCTAAACTAAAAAATGTTGGTTTACCAATAACAACTATCAGATTGTTTGATGGAAATGACATCAAATGTCATTGGAATGACATTGTGTTTGGAAATGACATGTATTGACATAAGATTCTTTGAAGCCATGCTACAATAGTAGCCACTTATACACTGGAATATGATTTTTAATCACTGATTCAGCAAATATTTATATAGCATTTTGTGCCAGGAGCTACAGACACAACTGTGAACAGAGAGACATCTCATCTTTGCCCCTATTAATATACTTCTACCAGGGGAGTCAAACAAATAATTACTCAATTGCCTACTTATAACAGGAATAAGTCATATAAAGGAGAAATACTGGGTGCTATAAGTATATTTAACAGGGAGACCCTGCTTACTCTGGGTCAGGAAAGGCTTCTTGTGGAAGTGAGCTGTGAAGGATGCATCAGAACAAACAAGGAGGGTGAACATTCCCAACAAAGTTTATTATACCTTCAAAGTTTCCAAGGCAGGGTGAAGCATTATAGGTTTAAGACTAGTGTAGCTGAAGAACAGAGGCAGGAAGATCATAAGATAAAAGTAGCATCGTTAATTCATAACACATAGAAGACAATCTAGAGTACAATCTAGAGTAGTAGCACATAGTCTGATATTCACTTAGCAGTGATTTAGGTTTATTTTATCTCTGCCAACAATAAATGGAGAAATGGAAGAAAATTATGAATGGCAATATTGTAAATGAATTGCCTTAAACCTCTCTAACAACACATTATACCATTCTGTAGCTCTTAATATATTTTGTGTAATAAGTAATTGGCAAGAACCATTGACAGGTACTATTAAGAAAGATATTTTCAGTGCTATAAGAACACAGCAGCTTATGTACTTGCACTATGAGACTATAAATTCCTTGAGGGTTGGTATTCTTGTTCATCTTTATATTCAGTTCATCAACTAACATAGTGCCTTACTCCCTCTAATGTTGGGTTACTAAGTGCATCCTGGTTCCTATGACTCAGTTTATGGTCCTCATTGATACACACCCTGATCTGAGGTTATTTGGCAGAAGCCTCCCTGACAAAATAAAGAAACAAAACAGCTCTAAAATGACTTTTTTAGAACAAAAAGATTTAAAGCAACCAAAAAAGGAGATCTCATTAGAGTCATTTTATAATACGCCACTGATTAAATATATTGGAAAAATTTTTTAACCTCTTGAAGAAAGCTCAAAGACTGAAAAGAAATAGGTAAAAAAAAATGTACTTGAAAAGTAACTAAATAAAATTTAATATTAAAATAAAAAAATAAAAAATAAATAAAATAAAATAAAAAACAAATGTCCTGCCATAGACATCTGGGGGAATGTGGGAAGAAGGAGAAAATAAAGTGTAAAGTTTTAGACTTTGTGACAGTATCTAAAGGAAAATAACATTTCTGTGATCATACAGGCACAAACACCCCGTGGACACAGGAGGAAAGACAATGAGCTGGGAAGAGAAGATACTGGCTGAGACTTGAATAAACAATATATTCCACAAGGTCCAGTCTGTCTCTTTTTTTCTGTCAAATATGAGCGAAGAATGTCAGGGAGCTTGTGGAATCTGCCAGCATTATAACCCACCATGGCCCACTAGGGCCCCAGGAGCAGAAAAAGCTCTGTCGTTTTAAGGTAAAAGAAGCACAAAACCTTCTGTCTTTTTTTATTTAATATCCAATATTTTAGTTCCCACAAGCAAAGTTTCCAAAACTCTTCAAAGAAAACAAACATCTTAAGGAAAGACAGCCAAGAAAAAAATCACAATTAATTGTTTCAAGAAGAAATCTTAACCTTCTACCATAGCAACGCCAGCAAGAAAAGTGACCTATCTTAGAATCTGAGTCATATTTCTCCCACAAGTGATCCAACTGCCACACAAAAACTTTGCTTCCTAATACTTTGAGCTTCATGTCATGAATGACCTGATACCATGTTCTGATGAAAGCAATCTCTGTGGCCAATGACCTAATCTCCAAATCCAACCAATCAATATACTTTCAATTAGTTGTTTCCCTAAGAAACAACACTCCTGCCTCTACTTCCATACCAACCACTTCCCAGATTTACCTTGGTCCTGTTTTGCCAGCTTTTTTGCTCCCTAACTCCCTCTAAATTTGGCGTGGTGGGGTGTATGTGTGTGTGGGGGGCAGACTCATTGTCCAAATTCTCCATCTTCTCTCTTCTATCTTTATAATCCCTACCAGAGAAAATACCTACTTCTCCAGACTATTCCTACAGAAACAGTTGTCAGCTAGGAATGACACTGCACCGTCCCACACCAGGGGACATTTGGTAATGTCTGTAGACATTTTTGGTTGTCTACAACCCTCCCGGGTGAGGAGGCTACTGGTATCTAGTAAGTAGAGGCCAGGGATGATGCTAAACATCCTACAATGCCCAGGACAGGCCCCAACAACAAAAAATGAACTGGCCCAAAATGTCAACAGTACTACTGTTCAGACCCCCTGATCTATTTGACATTGATAGCTTTAATTCATTTATTACTTTATCTGAAAAATATATTATTACCTACTTAAGACTTGCTATGCCTAAGTCACTGGGTGGGAAGTTGGTGGGGGGAGTGTCAGGGGAATTGCAGACGAAGCAACCAACCTGAGGTGCATTATGCCCTGAAAGAAAGAGCACCCACCTGGAGAAAAATGAGCCCTGCCTCAGCCTAAGCCAGATCAATGTTCTAACCACTTTGGGGACACCTCCGCATGCACATGTCCCAAGCCAAACACATTCATCACGTTCTCTTCTACCCACCTTCGTTACCACCTAATGTACATTTTGTATATTTTCTTCTCTTAGAGTCTCTATAATTTATATCGTATCCTCCCAAACATCAAACCAGAAATACTATTAAATTTGAACTTCCTCTTGGACTGACTTAAAAGCCAAGTCCCTGTGAATTCACCCTGACTATATTTCTTAGATTTATCCCTATACCCTCTATCTATCACCCATCTCCCTCACTGCCTCAAGCTCAAGATGCTCTTTGGAGTCTAGCACTTTGTAACAAAGAAACAGTGTTGAAGGCAAATGGGGATAGTGGGAGGAAGAGCATATACTTTGGGGTAATAAAGATAATTTGCAATCTTGTCTCTATTTAGTAACTGAATGACCTTGAACAGCTTACTTATTTCTCCAAGTCTCAATTTCTTTCTCTATAAAAACAGGCAATACCAAAATAATAAGTTTCTTTGTAAGGATAATGTAACCTGAAGTACTATTACAGATCTTTACTATATGATACCTATTACCAAATTATAACTGTGTGTAATTTATATATATTTCTTACACTGTATGTACTTAAATATTAAATTTTGGAGTAGACTGAAAATATAAACCATAATTATAGTATTGTGTTTCTGAAATCTATTAGGTTTCCCTGAATCTTTTTAGTTATAAACTAATTTTTAAGATCTTCAATCAAGGTGATTTGAAAAAACTAACACTAAAATAAAGGAATGGATAGTTCCAATAACAGCAACACCCTTTTTATTATTTTTATTATTTAATATAAGTCTATTTCAGGTATCATGCAAGGGACATATTTTAATACACCGGAAAGTAAGCTTACTTTCAACCCTCTTAATCAAGCAAAACTATTCTTAATTCACAAATTTAAAACTCTCCAAAAAGGCTTCACAGTAGTGTATTCACTGTGGTATGAACCCAGCCATAGAAAGCTCATCACACTTACTTGTTCCATGTAATAAAAGTCGCTCTCTGTGTTGAAATGCCAAGGCCAACAATTTGATTCATCTCAGCTCCTGCAGCTAAAAAAAAGATAGATAAAACAGATGTTTAAAAGCCAATGAATTTTTCTTTATAAATTGTAGTATGGAAAAGAAATGATTGAGTATAATCTTCAGGAAAAACATTTAGGTTTAGCATTTTTCTTTTTTGTATTGTTCAGTTACAGTTGCCCCATTTCCCCCCTGCCATTGCTCTCCTCCACTCAACACAACCCCCAGCGCCCACAGTCGGTACCCACCCTGCTTCCCATGTCTTTTTTTTCCTTTTTAAAAATTGTTCCAATATTATTTTGTATTGATTGTCTAACCACTATTTTGCATAGTGGTTAGATAATCATATACTTTACAAAGCATTCCCCCTGACATTTCCAATACACACCTGGAATTTTAATAACATAATTGGAGCTAATAAAGAAAGCATTACTGAGATGATTGTATAGTATTTTTTTTTTACTTAAAGGGTAAAAAGGTCGTATTCTAATAATAACAAAATAGCCTTTTTGCTTTAAATGTTAGAAAAAACAGACTATTAAAAGTGAGATTGTATTTTCTTCTTGATTATACTAAAAGATTAGATCTCAGTTTAAGCAAGGATCAAGTTGCTTAATCATTATGATCAATCATAATAGAAACTTATAAATGACAACAAAGAAAGGTCCCCGTTAAAAATAGTACCATTATTAAAACTCAGATCTTATTTTCCTCACAAATCAATGCTAGGATACAAATAAAAACATAGTGGGGTTTTTTTTAGTCCAAATATCTTAAAATATATCAAGTTTTTTGTGATGTTCTTTTTAAAAAAGGGTTTTTACCCCACTGGGCAAATTAGAGAAAAATTTAATTTGAGCAGAGGAAGACAAATTACTCCCTAAACAGCACTCCTTCAAAAATGTTTAATCTGAACCTGATCATGAGGAAATAATCAGATAACCCCAAAATGCAGGACAGTCTGCTAAACTGGTATGTAATTTTGAAAAGTGTCAATGTCATTAAGAACATGCTCTAGATTAAAGAAGGCTATACAGATTGACTGCTCAATGCAACGCCTCGTGAATGAATCTTTGGTTGGATTCAGGACTGAAAACAAAAGTTGTTATTGGCAAGGATAGTAGGTAAATATTCAAGACTAAGTATTAGAAAATATTTCTGTTGTAGACCCAGAAAAAGAAGATACCTACTAACATGGGCTCCTAATGAGTAACTAGGCTCAATTTTTTAAAAGAGAGCCTACCAGTCACTTCTAGTCACAGACCTCTCAGCAAACCACATTTTATGGAGAAGCCTGCACTAAACTAGCTACCTCTGCACTGAAATGCCTGCCTGTACTGCTTCTGCCATCTGAGCCAGCCCTTATAAAGGAGTTCCTGGAATCCTATTTCAGCCAATGAGACTGAGGCTTTCCCTATCCATTTGGAGCTGCACAGCTAAATCCTCCATTAATGTCCTCACTGATAAATCAGTGAAAATATTAAATCAGTAAGGATATAAATCAGAGAGCAACCTTTGGACCATAAGCCACTAAGGAGACAAAGCTTATCTCCCTGCCAGGGGTGCAGCCTATGCTTTTTTACTTCACCCTGCCTGGCCCCCAATGCTTGATTGGTTAGCCAATGATGGGTAAGATTCTTCAAAAGAGGGATGACATAAGACAGGCATGATCATGGGGGCCTCCCAGGGAAGGACTTGGGGGGCTATGGAGAAAGGGGGTGATGGACCCTCGCCCCTTGGCTCTGACATAGCCTGAGTCCTCATTCTGTCTGCAAGAGGTCTCCTAATCTCTTGGCTGCCTTACTTCCCCTGCCTGACTTAAGCCTGAAACAATGCTGGAGGTAGGTGTGGCCCTTTGCTGGAAAGAGGGAGTTCCCTAAGGTGATCAGGCCTAAGAAAGAAAGCATAAAATCCTAGGAACCTACTTTGCTAATACCCTCAATTTAAATAATAAGGGACCAAGCAGGAAGTGAGTTTGTTCCCCCAAGTTTTATGGCCCTTTAATTATCTGACCCTGACTCAGAATAAGCCCTTAGAGCTCTTTGAATGTTACCTATTGTTTAATCATTTCTTTCTGACAGTGATTGATGAGCTTTACATATACACCCTGTATTCCTGTGCAAATTGAATCCAACAAAAGCCTGTCAAGGTAAGGGTCGGAGGGTCTCCTCTTGAGAGAGATGTTGCACTGTCCCTTTTCCTTCATAGGACTCGGTAGTCAGTGTGAATTTGTCTCGTATCTCATCCATAACACTGCAGACACTGCAGGCTTGTGTCCGTGTCAATTCTTGCTCAAAATTGATTGACGCCGTGACCCCAATAAAATACTATGCATATAATTATAACTTAGGAAACCCACAAAATTCTATAGACTCCTAAGGAAAACTTTTATTAAAAATATAATTTACTATATTATTTTTATATCCAATTACCTTTGACAGATTCTTTTATTACAGCAACAAATTGAAGCCAAAGAACATCAGGATCAATTTCAACCCAGCCAATTTGAGGATAAAGATTCTCTACCTATGGAAAAGCGATTTAGTAAAAACAGTATTAGATCAAGTCACTATCACCTGGTGCCTCAAATTACTGGTTAAAATCCTGAACAACACAGTTTTATGTATTATCTATTTCATTTTTATTGTTAAAGTGGAAAATACATTTATAAGAAATAGAAAAAAATGATACACCAAAATAACATTAGTTTTCTTTAGTTCATAAGTTTATAGAAGATTTTAGCTTTCTTTATTTTACTTTTATTTTCCAAATTTATTTTTCAAGTTTTCTACAGTGAAGATGTGTTGTTTTGTAAGAAAAAGCCAGACTTTTAAAAAAGGAAAATTAACAAATAAAGTACCAAGTTTTGGTTCAGACTGTGTTGGAGCAAGCATACTCCACCCTGTTCCTCCCACTAAACACAGATATAAAACTGGGACAGAATTCATGGAGCAGCTATCTGTGGACTCCAAAAAGTATATGGAGGCAGGCAGAACAGGCTACAAGAAAAGAATTCAAGTACTGCCCTGACAAGTTGGCTCAGTTGGTTGGGTGCTATCCTGCAAAGCAAAAGGTCACAGGTTCGATTCCCGGTCAGGGCACATGCCTAGGTTTCAGGTTGTCACCTGTTGGGGTTCATACAAGCTCTCAATGTTTATCTTCTTCTCTTTCACCCTCCCTTCCCTTCTTTCTAAAAATAAATAAACAAAGCTTTAAAAGAAATTAAAAAATAAGCCAGGTGTTGAAAGACAAATACCATATGATCTCCCCTTTAACAGGAACCTAAACAACAAAACAAACAAGCAAGCAAAATATAACCAAAGACAGTGAAATAGAGAACAGGACAGTGATCAGAGGGGAGAGGGGAGGGAATCTGAGGGGGAAAAAGGGAGGGATTTACAGGAACTAGTATAAAGGACACATGGACAACAACTAAGGGGGGTGGAAATGGGAGGGAGGTGGGGAGCACGGGGGTGGGGTGGGCTGGGATGGGAGTAAAAGACAGAAAACTGTACTTGAACAATAATTAAATTTAAAAAATATTATGCAAAATAAATAAATAAAAAGAATTAGAGTACCACTGGATTGGCAGTAAGTTTGCTATTTTTCTTCTGGTATCACCTGGCCTGGACCCAAGGCAGCCTGAAAACCGCAAGTGGGCACCAGGATGCAGTAAAAACCCAACGAGAAGCACTCTCCTTTTGGTTAACACACAGAGAGAATAGGAAAGGCCTCCATTTTTCTTTTCTTTGCCCCCACCCCACCCCTGCCTCCATGCTTTTGCACACAGGCTAACCCGTGGTGGTGGCTGCAGCAGTTAACCATAAGCACCTAACACACTGAGAGGGGTAGAACTTTCCCTCCAATCAAAGTAGCTGTGGGTGAAAGATGGTAACGTGAACCCCCATGGCTTTTATCTCTCTGCTCCTACATGTGAAAAGTGCCTGGCAGAATAACATAATGAAAGCTCCAGGTTTCTGGGAAAAGTACCAGGAAGATTTCTGAGAGGGAGAAACTTGAGAAATCGAGTCCTGAAAGTTGTGTATGTATCCCCAGGCACACCTCAAAGCTGTAGGTGTGAAATATAATCCTAAACAGCATAGCAAAGATGTTAAGATCAACATAAAGGGTTAGAATGCTTGACCACTGGGTGGCACATATACAGGGTATATCCAAATAGTACTGCTGAGATTTTTAAAACAGAGCATTGAAACAAAAGTTCGAAGAAGGTTGGTCAGAATGTTTAGCCTGAATCCAACTGTATTAATTGCTCACTAAAAGAAGAACATCAACATTCATAATATTTACACAAGATCCAGAGTCTTAAACCATGATAATCAAAGTGTTCAAAATACAATCCAAAAATCACAAGGTATATTAAAAAAAACAAACAGAAAAATCTCAACTCACTGGGAAATAATAATTGGTACTAATGTTAAGTAGGCACAGATATCTGATAAAGGCTTTAAAGTACCTATTATAAAGGTGTCCCAAGAAGTAAAGGCAAAGTCTTTTGAAAACAATGGAAAGATAGAAAGTCTCAGTAAAGAAATAGAAAGAATAGGAAAAAAAAAACAATGAAATTTTTAGAATTAAAATATGCAATAATTAACAGAATGGGAGAAAATAAGAGATGCTGATCAAAGGGCACAAATTTTAAGTTATGAGTAAGTTTTGAAGACCTAATATACAGCATGATGACCATAGTCATTAATAATGTATGGTATGCTTGAAATTTGCTAAGTAGTTTTCAACACACACACACACACACAAATGGTAATCTTGTGAGATGATGGATATGTTAGTTAGCTTGATTATGATAATCATTTTACAATGTATAGGTATACCAAACATCACATTGTACAGTTTACATATAACAGCCTTTATTTGTTGATCATACCTCAATAAGGCTGAAAAATCAATTTGAAAATAAAAATATAATCATTTAAATAAAAATATATACTGGATAGGCTAAATAGTAAAATGCAGATAGCCAAAAAATCAATAAACTTAAAGATGTATTAGTAGAAATTACCTATTCTGAATAACAGAGAGAAAAATATTGAAAAAATGAATAAACCCTCAGGGATTTCTAGGAAAAGAGTAAAAGGTCTAATATTTGCATCCTCAGAGTCCGCAAAGAATAAAAGAAAGAGTTCCATGCAGAAAAATATTACTTAAGGGAAGTAACAGTACTAAAAACATTCCTAGTTCCGTAAGATTTCAAATCTGCACATTCTAGACGTTGACACACCTCCAAACAAGAGTCATGCACATCCAGATTCAGCATAATTAAAATGACAAAAGCCAATTATAAAAATTTGTAAGCAGCAAGACACATTACATATGTGAAACAATGATCCAACTGTACATTTTTCATCAGAATCATAAGGGTGAAGAAAAAGTAGCCCAACATTTTTGAAGGGCTCAAGGAACTGTCATCCACAATTCTATATCAAAATTCCAGTAGAATTTTTTGTAGGTATAGGCATAATTATTCTAAAATTTATATGAAATTTCCAAAGAACTAAAACAACCAAAAAGGTCAAAAAGAATGATTTTGGAGGAATCAAACTACACAATTTCAAGACTTACTAGAAAGCTATAATAATCAAATAGGTGTGCTACTAGCATAAAATAGAAAAATAGATCAATTACACAAAATGCAGTGCAGAAATAGACCCATACAAATATAGTTAACTAATTTTTGACAAATGTACTGGGCAATTCAGTGGAAAAAAGATAGCTTTTTTAAAAGAGTTGGAAAAATTACACGTTCATGTGCAAAAAAATTAACTTCACTTAAACTTCACATCTTTTTTTGTACTAAAACTAATTTTATTCAAAGACTACATAATCTTTTCATGTATATTTTATTAATTATGTTATTACAGTTGTCCCAATTTTTCCCCCCTTTATCCTCCTCTGTCCTGCACCGCTCTACCCTCTATCCTTCTCCCCACTTAGTTCATGTCCATAGGTTGTACATAGAAGTTCTTTGGTTTCTCCATTTCTTATACTATTTGTAACCTCCCCCTGTCTATTTTGTACCTACCAATTGTGCTTCTTACTCCCTGTAGCTTTTCCCCCTATTCTCCCACCTCCATTGCCCCACAAATAACCCGCCATGTGATCTCCATTTCTGTGATTCTGTTCCTGTTCTAGTTGTTTACTTAGGTTTTTTGTTTTGGATTCAGTTGTTGATAGTTGTGAGTTTGTGGTCATTTTACTGATCTTATTTTTCTTTCCCTTTAACATTTCAGTCCCTTTAACATTTCACATAATAAGGTCTTAGCGATAATGAACTCCTTTAATTTTATATTATCTGGGAAGCATTTATTTGCCCTTCCATTCTAAATGATACCTTTGCTGGATAGAGTAATTTTAGATGTAGGTCCTTGTCTTTCATGACTTCAAATATTTCTTTCCTTCCCCTTCTTGCCTGCAGGGTGTCTTTTGAGAAATCAACTGATAGTCTTATGGGCATTCCTTTGAAGGTAATTCTCTCCTTTCTTCTTCCTGCTTTTAAGATTCTCTCCTTCTATTTCATCTTGGGTAATGTAATGATGATGTGCCTTGGTGTGCTCCTCTTTGGGTTCAACTTCTTTGGGACTCTCTGGGCTTCCTGGACTTCCTGGAAGTCTATTTCCTTCACCAGAGTAGGGAAGTTCTCCTTCATTATTTGTTCAAATAAGTTTTCAATTTCTAGCTCTTCCTCTTCACCCTCTAGCACTCCTATGATTCAGATGTTGGAATGTTTAAAGTTGTCCCAAAGGTTCCACAGCCTCTACTCATTTTTTAAAAATTCTTGCTTCTGCGTTCTGTTCCAGGTAAATGTCTATTTCTTCCTTCTGTTTCAAGGTGTTGATTTGAGTCCCAGTTTCATTCCCTTCACTGTTGGTTCCCTATACGTTTGTCTTTATTTCACTTTGCATAACCATTTTTTTCTCTATTTTGCAACCCTACTCAACCATTCCTGTGAGCATCCTGACTACCAGTGTTTTGAACTCTGCATCTGATAAGTTGGCTACCTCTTCATTGGTTAGTTCTATTTTTGAAGTTTTGACCTGTCTTTCATTTGGGCCATACTTCTTTGTCTCAGCACAGCTGTTACACAGTAAGGGGTGGAGCCTTAGGTATTTGCCAGGGCAAGGCGACCCATGTCACTGTGTTGTGGCACTGTATGTGGGGGAGGGGTCAGAAAGGGAACAATGCCTCTTACTTGGCTCTCAGCTTGTTTTTAATCACTTGCTCTGCTTCACACAAGCAAATTGGGCCCTTCTGGTGCTGTTTTCCCAGGTGGGTAGGTTTGTGTACATTCTAGGACCTTGTGGGTCTCTCCAATGAACACTCCTGTGAGGCTATGAGTTTCTCCCATCACCACAACCCCCACAGATTTTTACAGACAGAGATTTTGAGGCTTTCTTTTTCTGCTCTGGAACCTTGGGTTGTGCAATCTGTCTAACTCCCCAGTTGTTCCTCCTGGTTTATATGCATGCACATACAGGAACACTCAGACTTCTAGC